CCCATGGGCGCCATCACTAGAGGACGGCAGCCCCGTCGTGGCCGCGATCACGGCCTGCTCCTGCGCCGCGCCTTGGCGCCCTTCTCAGCTGCTTGCATGGACTTTGTTGACACCATCTCGATCGTCGTTCTTCGTTTGCTCACGAACCCAAGAACGGGGCTCTGATACCAAATGATAGAACCCGGTGATTAGGTTTCTATTTAGCAATTGGGGTTGATGAGATCAACTAGGAATTGATCTCCTTGTAGCACAAAAAAAGTGGGTGAAGGGGGATTGGATGGGACGAGGATGAAGGAAGGGGAGGGGAATTGCTTTGGGGGTCGTGGGCAGAAGGAGGGATAGGGAGGATTTGTTTAGGCGTGAGGAAGGGAGAGGGGAAGAGAGAGATTTGAGGTGGGAACGAAGGAAGAAGGAGGAGGGAAGGGGGCTGTCGCTTGGCGGCTAGTGAGAGGGAGGAAGAGGGAATCGGCAGAGGGAAAGGAGAGAGAGGGAGAGAGGTAATTAGGATTTAGGTTTATTCTGCTTAACCATAAATCTCACGTACAAGTAGTTTATATAAAAATGGCTAATTTCCTACTACTACCCGATCTATCAATTATTCCCGAATAGTCCCAATAATCCGAATAATAATAAACCGACAATTAATTAAAGTACTAAAATGCAAGTTTCTATCATCTCCGCTTCCTTCGAAAAACAACTGTGTCCCCAATGTTGTTCCTCTAGCTCACTGGGTCTCCTCCTCGCCATTTTCGACGTTCTTGGCCTCATCTTCTGCTTCATCTTCCCAGCGCCCGACTAACATCATCAGATCCGTCTTCGGGCATTGATGACCGATGGTGAACCGGCCATCACAATTGAAGCACTTGTCCTCCCGCCTCTTCTGCTCAATCTCGGTCGGCACGAACCCTTTTGGTATGGCCCGCGGTCCCAACCTAGCCACTGGCGCAATGCCCCCGCCTCCGGCGTTAGCTCCCCCCGCTATTCCCGCCAGCGTTCCTCCACTGCTACCACCGGCCCCACTGCTATCTCCACCTCCGCTCGAATTCTGGTAACGGCCTATGGAGTTCCTCCAGCTGGCAAGTTCCTCCTCTTTATGACCTGCAAGACGAAAAGCAGCTTTCAAGGAATCTGGCTCAAACACTATGACCGCTGCTGCTACCTCAGGCTTGAGGCCCGCCATGCACAGCCCCACCAATGTGTCATCCGGAACTCCCTTGCACTGGTTCCCCAGCTTGAAGAACTCAGCGCGGTATTTGGCCACAGTGCCGGTCTGCTTTAGCTTGGCCAACTGCTCAGGGGCCCACCCCTCCAATTTACCGAACTGGTAACGGAGCTCCTCCTGAAACATCAGCCATGTAATCAAGGTTCACGCCGCCCCGTAGGTTCTCTCCATCCAATCCCACCACTGTAGGGCCTCACCATCTAAGTAGAAAGACGCCAGATGAGCCTTCCTCTCCTCTGGAATGGGGTGATTCCTGAACCACCTCTCCGCTGCATACAACCACAGCCCTGCATCCTCCTAACCGTTGAATTTCGGGAACTCAATGGTCGGGGGTTTGGCTCGAAAGACCATCCCATCAATTCCATCATAGGCAGGGTGATACAAACCATACATGTGATAACCCGAGTCACCCCCTAGCTAGTTCTGGTAGAACGGTGATCCTCTTCCTCGTCTAAAGCTGGCCGCGGCACGTCGACTGGGCGGACCCGTCGCATACCCTGCCCCGTATGACCCTTGCCACATGTTCGGATCCATACCGGTCAACCCTCCGCCTCGGTCCGTTCTGGCCCCACCTGACCCAAACCGCTCCTCATGCCCCGGCCCAACTGGCGCGGCTCGGCCCACTGCCGGGTCCGAGTCCGAATAATTTTCGGCGCCAGCCGGGTCGGCCCACGGTGCATTTTGACCCACCAGGCTGAGCTCCTCCTCGATCCGCTCCGGGTCAAAGTTCAGCCACCCCAGCCCATTGGGCTCGTGATATGGGCCCGCTGCATCAAATCGGCCCATCGGCCCTGGTGGACCTCGCACAGTCTACTGGGCCCCGCCGTCGTACCCGGGCATTTTTTCCTTGCCCTTTCGGGCCGCCAACTCCTGGGCCGTTGGTGTAGGCAGAAGCCCACGCCCACGACCGCACCCTAGCTGACCGTGGCCCGCACGTTCAGTAGCCCCTGCCTGGTCGCCCTCGCCAGTGAAAGCTGCTGCCGCCGCCGCCTCCAACACCACGGCCACCGGAGGCAGGTCCTCCGGCGCCGTCTCGCCTACAGCCGGCCTGCCCACCGCGCCGGACTTGCTCCCCTCCGCGCCGCCGCCCGCCGGCGAGTCGTCGCCGCGCTCAGGCCACTGCCCCCTACGCCGCCGCCGCTACGCTTCTGTGAGGTTGGTTGTGCAGCGTGCAGCACCTCCAAGGCCACCTACACCTCATCGAACCGCCGCTAGAGCCTCTAGGACTCCTTCTCCTGCTCGCGCCTTGCAGCCAGCCTCTCCACGCGCTCCATTTCGAACGCAGCCACCAGGCGATCCAAGGTAGCTCGGATCGCCTCCAGCTTCTCCGTCTCGTCTTCCAGCTCCCCATCCCGCAGATTGAGGACCCCATGGGCGCCATCACCGAAAGACGGCAGCCCCGTCGTGGCCGCGATCACGGCCTGCTCCTGCGCCGCCGCCTTGGCGGCCTTCTCAGCTGCTTGCATGGACTTTGTTGACACCATCTCGATCGTCGTTCTTCGTTTGCTCACGAACCCAAGAACGGGGCTCTGAAACCAAATGATAGAACCCCGTGATTAGGTTTCTATCTAGCAATTGGGGTTGATGAGATCAACTAGGAATTGATCTCCTTGTAGCACAAAAAAAGGGGGTGAAGGGGGATTGGATGGGACGAGGAAGAAGGAAGGGGAGGGGAATTGTTTTGGGGGTCGTGGGCAGAAGGAGGGATAGGGAGGATTTGTTTAGGCGTGAGGAAGGGAGAGGGAAAGAGAGAGATTTGAGGTGGGAACGAAGGAAGAAGGAGGAGGGAAGGGGGTTGTCGCCTGGCGGCTAGTGAGAGGGAGGAAGAGGGAATCGGCAGAGGGAAAGGAGAGAGAGGGAGAGAGGTAATTAGGATTTAGGTTTATTTTGCTTAACCATAAATCTCACATACAAGTAGTTTATATAAAAATAGCTAATTTTCTACTACTACCCGATCTATCAATTATTCCCGAATAGTCCCAATAATCCGAATAATAATAACCGACAATTAATTAAAGTACTAAAATGCAAGTTTCTATCAATAACCTATATATGTGTTCCTCTACATTCATTGTTGTTAAGTTCCCTTTGGCTTTGAACGCTTGCTGTTTAATTTTCCACCTAGTTAGGAATCTTAATAACTGATCCCGACATTGTTCAGTCTCTTTTGTAAGGATGGGTGTTTTAGGATTATGATGGGTCCTTTGGGTTGATCGGCTGTCTCTTAAGTTATTGTCTCTGTTTGTAACAACGTATGAGTGAGAAGATAGTTTTTCTGACTTCGTTGTCGAAAGTTCTTGACTCCTCGTTTACCTTTATCAATGGTTTTTCATTTTGTGTTTCCATTTAGTTTAAGAAATTGATTGGGCATATAAACTATAGATCCACCGGATCATGCAAACTACCAAGCTCGCTTTAAGAATGTAGAGGTCAAGTTCTATAAATAAAATGAGGTCCATTTTTTCTTTAAAATAATATAATTTAAAATAAAGAGCGATAATAGTTCACAATTAATCAAACAACTAGGACTCACCTAAACAGATGATGAGAACTTAATTGACTAAAAGAGGAGAATAACTTTAGATGAATCACATAGTATGAAAAAATATTTGAGAGAAAAATATTAGATAGGAGAAGCTTATAATTTTTAAAACTAAAATTAAGTACGGTACAAACTATTTACAATTGATTTACATCTTTTTTTTTTCTTTTACATGAGTATTGCCTAGATTTACACTTGATTAGACATATACATGATACAGGTCGGAGAAGTGGCAAACCCAAGGATTTTAGACAGGGTTGTCGGCTTTTGAAAATCAAATTAATAATAAAATAATTCTTTAATAATATAATATCCGACTTGTTCAAATTATAACAAAAGCACGTGGTTTGTACTTTGTAAAATTGTAAAATATATTCAGTCTCTAACACTGCTCTACAAATCTTTCTCGATATATCATACTAGACAAGGGGCCCTATAAACGTTAGCTTTTAAAAATAATTAGAATCATAAATATTCTTATATTCTTATATTTGAATTTAAAATTAAAGAGCAAATGAGGTTGTAATCTGATCAAAAATGTATTTAGTAATTAGTAATAGTAGCAGTGACTCAAGTTCAAATTACATACCATACCACTTAAATGTTTTTATTTGTGCATACACAAACTACTACCTGGTCTTAATAGTCATTTTTCAAATTTTAGAGGTGTTCTGCTACCAGTTAAATACTTTTTTCACCAATACGCAAACTATTATCGAGAATTGAATAATCGTTTTCCCAAATTTTAGTGGTGTCCCTATGAATTCGCTACTAAATCAGAGGCCCCCATCATTTGGAGGCATGTGCTGGACGGCCTATTGGCACACCCCAAGGGTCGGCCCTGCAAACTACTATACATCCTTCTAGTGTAGTCGAAGGAGAAGGAGAAGTGCTGACTCACCCTTTTTTAACCCGCCACATCACCAAACCCGACTTGCCACATAAATCAACTCGCCATGTCATCTCTCCCAACCCAATCCTTAAACCCAAACAACCTATGAACCGACCCCTCTATCCCTGTCTCTCTCCTCTTCGCATGTCCCTCTCTCCATTATGCGTTTCTCTCTATTCTGCCGACCCATTTTGCTGATCGGGGACCTGATTTGAACCCTCTCGCTCATTCTCCCTCGGCGAAACTGTGAAGAATTGGATGGGAAGCGGCGGGGAAGAGTGACGACAAGAGTAGAAGATTCGTGTTGACTAGGCAAGGGGAGACTTCGGGTTGAGGGGGAAGAAATGTACAAGAACCTGCTCCAGGAGCTGGCCCAGAGGAGCTGCTTCAACCTCCCTTCCTATACTTGCATCAGGGAAGGACCCGACCACGTGTCGCGCTTCAAGGCCACCGCCAACTTCAACGGTGAGATCTTCGAGAGCCCTTCGTACTCCTCCACACTCCGCCAGGCCGAGCAGTCTGTCGCCGAGTTCGTGCTCGGATCCCTTTCCCACCGCGACCCTTCTCACTCCTTCGTTGCCCGATTCTGGTATGTGCTTTCAGAACTTCTTGCCGGTGGTGGAACTTCTCATATTGGAAATGTCTTGAGTGATTTTGATGCGGGGATTGAAGAGGAGAGAGGAGCAGGCGAAGAGGAGAGAGAGAGAGATGGATAGAGGGGTTTGCTCATAGGTTGGTTGTGTTTAAGGATTGGGTTAGGAAAGATAACATAGTGGGTTGCGTGACGTGGCAGGTCGAATTCGGTGATGTGCAGGTTAAAAAAGGGTGAGTCAGACCTTTTGTTAGCCACTTAAGCAATTGACTAATGGTGTTAACGGAGCCTAACAGGGTGACTAAACGTGGTCCGTTTACTAATTCGAGTGATCAATATCGATATTAATTTTTTCCCAGTAATTAACGATTTCCTTTAAAGCTCACCCTTGGCCTAATACAGCCAAAGAGTCGAAAATACATCTGGCTGTAACCAACACTTCCCCTTTCAATACAATAACTAACAGCTAAACAAGATGAAGGGGGCATAGTTAGAAATATGAACTCTTGAATAAAAATCAGAGTTTCCACAAGCAAAGAGCCTAATTTCATCACGAATTTGAACTGCAAGCTGGTCTGGATCCTTTGGTTGCTCTCCAAAACATCTTCGACATTGTTCCTTCCAAATAAACATGATGCTCAAGCACCAAAGTACAACTTCAACACTGTTATTGCAATCACCTCTCATTGCTATAATGGTCATCTGCTTCAGCATATCTCCTAATTGGGAGACATAGGAACATTCTTCTGCATAAGGCATGAGACAAACTCAACTATGTACCTGCAACCACAAAATAAGTTTTCCTTGGATTCCCTATCACTGTGACAAAGCACACACTGATCATTTATCACTACGCCCCATGCTTTCAGCTTGTCTTTTGTTGCGAGTCGATCCAGTATAACAAGCCATTTGATCACTCTATTTCTTGGTAAAACAAACTTGTTCCAGATAATTCTCCACCAAACAACTCCAGCTCGCTTAAGTCGGATAGTATGCCAGACTGTTGAGACAGAGAATTTCAACAGCTGCTTACCTTGCCTACTAACACACCCTCTCCATCAATGTCCATCCTATACCGAATCCATGATCGAATTTTCAGCAATTGTTTCCAAATCCAGGAGCCCGAAGAGCCAGATTTAACCTGCCAAATAGACTCACCTCGGAGTCTATTTCTGAGAATCCAGGCTACCCATAAGCTGCCACCTTGCATAAGAAGCAGCCAGGTCAATCATGAAGCACAAGCAACATTACAGGAAAGAAGATCCTTTATACCAAGACCTCCTTCCTGTTTTGGAACATCAAGAATCTCCCATGCTACTTTCGATTTCCCAGATTTCCCTCCATGACAAAAAAAGTCAGCACAAATCTTCTGAATGGATTTAATCATCTTTTTGGGAAAAACAAATATAGCCATCCAATAGCGTATGATAGAGTATAAGACCGAATCGATGGGCTTCAGTTTACCAGCTTCAACACTGATATTAATTTTTTCATTGACTAAACATGACAAGTTTTAGTAACCCGATAAGCAAACGTGGCATTTACCCAAAACTTGAATAAACGATTTTGGATAACTTTATTTATTTAACGGAAAAAATCATTGATCATCAGTTTTAACGGTTAACATAAACTTTTGGTCAAATCTGTCCTAATTCAAAAAGTTGGCCATAAATATCATATTGAGAACTTTGGACAAAAACTGACACGTAAGCCAAATTTCGGACCAAACTAGGATATTCGGACTATTTTTATTTCCCAAGACTTCAAGCCCATGTTTATTTGGCCCATTTGAAACTCTTTTAACATCATGCCAAGATTTATCACCCTTCCCCTCATACCCAAGACCACTCAATTATAATCACGCTCACGTGACTCAGTTTTGCCTACACAAGAAAATCATGATGATGAAAGTTGTCCACATACAAAGAAAACCCATGCCTTTTTGGCTCATTTCAAGCTCTTAATCGCGCTATTAACGACCTCATCCTCGGGATTTTTCCAGAAATAGCATTGTTTAAAAAAATTCAAAAATAGCACCCAACCTTGAAAAATTCCAAAAATAGCACCCTTTCCCAAATACCGCCACCCAAACCAGCGGTTTAGGCAAAAACCGCCACCCGGTGGCGCTTTGTTTGATGAAAATTGCACGGGTAGGGTGCGGTTTTGCAAACCACATGGGGCCGGGGCAGTTTGGTTGCAAACCGCACCCCCACCATGCGGTTTGTAATATATATTTATTTTTTTCAAAATAAGTATCACAAGTGCTCTTGGCACAAATGGTTTAGTTTTTTATAGTGTGCAAGAAGTCCTGAGTTCGAATCCCCACCATTCCAATTGAATTTTTGTTTTTGTTTTTTAGAGATAAAAAATGCAACATGTCGTGGGAGTGGTGTTTCGAACCCATAATAAATAGTTTACTAAATTTAGCACAACATCTACACCACTCAACTACAACTCTTCTCTTAAAATAATAATATATATTGACAAAGTTTTACCCCTTGAAAGCTAAAAATCCTCAATAACTTTGTGCTCCAAAATCCGAACGTCATGAATTTTTTTTTCATTTCGCATAACTTTTTAAGGACTACAATTTTTACTAGGAATGAATTTTTAAAACAGGAAATATTTTTGGATATACAGGACTTTGGGAATAGCTTACCTTCCATTTTCAGCAATCCACGTACATTTAGAAATTATGTCTATGATAAAATTTGTAGTCCTTAAATATTTATGCGAAATGAAAAAAAAATCATGTCGTTTGGATTTTGGAGCACAAAGTTATGGTTGTCCAAAGTTTGACGAAATCGCAAAAAAAACTCGTTCGAGGTAGCAAACGTCATTTTTTTGGGACGAAGGCGAGACCGAACCGCCTTCGCCGATATGCGACTTGCAATATCTCAAAAGGTTATGCGGAATAAAAAAAATCGCGACGATCACATACCCGAACACAAAGATACGTTCGATTGAAGTTTTCACCTAAGTTAGGATTTTTCCAAAAAAAAAAAAAGACCAAAACCGCATGGTTGGTGTGCGGTTTGCAACCAAACCGCCACGGCCCCATGCGGTTTTTATAGAAAAACGCGCCCCCGGATGGCGGTTTTCGCCTAAACAGCTTGTTCGGATGGCCATTTTTGGGAAAGGGTGCTATTTTTGGAATTTTTTGGGTTGGGTGCTATTTTTGGAAAAAAAAATTTAACAATGTTATTTCTGGAAAATCCCCTCATCCTCTTTCTCACTCATGCTTGGAAACTTTGTTGTGGGATTGTTCACGGTTCTTATATCATAAAGAACTAGCACTGGGTCCGACTTGTTGCCAGGAGTGTTGAGGCAAGTAATAAAATATATAATAGACACCTTGAAATACATGCAATAAGTATTTTATACATTAGCTATGCATGTAACATATTTGAAACTGGCCTAATTATGCATAATGTGTTTAGAACTACATAAAAAGAGATTTTTTTTATATAAGCATTAAGTATAATTATTGAATAAAAAATTAAACATAACTAATTTTCATTCATTACTTAAGTAGACCATATAGTTGAATATTAGAGTTACTTGTCATAATACACACATAATCAATCTTCATTAGAATGAAAGAAAATTATTGTTCTCTCATAAAGTTCAATATGTCCTTGAAGTGTTAGAGTGCACCTCTTTGACCACATCGCGATTAGTGGATCAAAATTTGAAATATATGCAACAAGATGCAAGGTTGTCACTAATAATTAGTTGGACAATGCATAGTAGTGTTGTCAAACCGAACCGGACATCGATCCGGATAAACAAGAGTTCAAGATTTATCGGATAACCGTTAATTAACCGGCATTAAAAACCGGTCACAACCCGATGCTTTGTCTATATAAAAAGAAAGAACAACAAATTAAGAATTGAAAAAAGGTAAAAAAAATTAAAAATGAAAAGGGCGCCCGCTGTTATGCATTCGAGACCGGACTTGTGAATGTTCTTAAAAAGGGATTGTTTCTAACGTTAGAAATGGCCACAACACTAATTTCTGGTTGGGTAATTCGGTCTTACAGGGTCCCTTAATTGAAGCAGCGACAGGAAACATCACAGATGATCTGAAGAAAAAGTCAGTGGCAGACCTTTGGGATGCGGACCACGGATGGAAGCTACTGGAATGTGAGACCTTCTCCCCCCCTCACATTATCGACACCATTAGAGCGATCGTGATTGACCCATTGGCCGCAGGGGACGACGAGAAGATATGGAATCTTACAGCTAATGGCAGTTTACCACGAGCTCGGCTTACTCTGTTTTGATTACGCGACAATCGAGCATGCCTTCTCATTTCTGGCAAAAGATATGAAAAATCCAGGTGCTAGAAAAAGTTTGGACCTTTATCTGGCTGGCTATGAAAAGAAAACTAATGAGTAATAGTGTCCGCAAATTCCGACACCTGACCTAAAATGATGCCTGCCCTCGGTGTGAAGATATAGCTGAGACATATCTTCATTGTCTTCAAGATTGCTTCATGGCCAAGGCAGTTTGGCACAAACTGCTTCGTGCAGAGCAGGTTCAACAATTTTTCAATTCAGATTACAACAATTGGATGGAGACCAACTTAACTAAAGACCTGCAGGGTGAGTGGCCAATTAACTGGCCCAACTATTTAGGTCTTGTATGCTGGTATATCTGGGGGTGTGGCAATAATAAGATTTTCAAGGGGATCAAATTGTCTGCTCATACCCTATGCAACTATTTTATGAGGAAAGCTAAAGAGTGGGGTAACGCTTGGAGAGTGGCTAGCAATAGGTTGGTTCTCTCGAGTCCACAACCTCGGTCAGAATAATATGTTAGCTGGTCTGTACCAAAACTAGGCTGGCTTAAACTCAACACGGAAGGAGCTGCACAACAAAACCCATGTATGGCTACAACAGGAGGATTGTTGAGAAATAGTTTTGGAGACTGGTTAGGTGGTTTCTGCAGTAAACTTGGAAATGGTACTACGCTTAAAGCAGAACTCTGGGGCATCTACCAAGGGTTGCAGATGGCTTGGCAAAAGGGGACTCATTTCCTGATCTTGGAAACTAATTCTCAGCTAGCTTTGGATTTACTGAGACATAGGCTTGATTCGACTCATCCTTATGCAACCTTGTT